CAGATAAAGCGCTGTCCTACGGACATACGGAGTAGGAACGCGCCATTCTGATTATGAAACTAAAGTGAAGCCAAGTTTTTGGCAGGTGTTTGGCACCAACATACAGGTAAAGCATTGAATTGCCTATACCGCCATTTTTTTGGCTTCATAAAACCAAGTCGGACAATTTCTTTCATATTTTCAACCTGAGCGTGGGAACATTTTCGCGCTGGCTCTTCGTGAAGTTGTCGTTCTGACGTCCCTAAGGAAGGTGATAGTGATACATGTATACAGTGCGTTGTTTTGAATCTGATACTCCAAAGGAATGTGAGGTGGCTCCCTACGTTAGAACGCCAATGAGCACCTGACGTCAGACCTGTTGTTGCCATATGCTTCAGTCAGCCCCGCGCTCCTCAGTCCTCATACACGGAAAGTGTCAGATTAAAAACGACGGACAATACGTGTAGTTTTAACACAGCATATACAAAAACAATCACCGGCTAACTCTCACGCGCATCTTTTCTGCGCATGCCGCCATTAGGGGATACCATCCTGTCATTAAACGGCAGGGGCGCCGAAGTTTGATTACATTTGTTTATTTCTGACGGAGGTCATAGGCGTGCGGTGTAGAGCGGAATTTTAGTTATGATTTTCGAAGTGATTTTAGTATATTCGTGTTGTCATTTATAGTGTTATCTGTTATCATTTTTGTATATTTAATAATAATAATAATAAATTAGTAATTATAAATATTATTATATGTAACTAATGGCCGTTTGCACCGACAATTTTAAGGGAGGTTTAACAATAATCCACGTTAAGAGTGACATTTTCACATGAAAAAATATCACAATAAACGTTGATTATCGTTAAACCTCCCTTAACATGGTCGGTGCAAACGCCCATAAGTAACTAATAATAAATCAGTTTATTTAAAGCCAATACGACTCTGTCTGTGACAGGAACGAAAAAACCTAAATCATCGTTAATCAGGTCCTGTTTCTTATCCCAAAATGGCTGCTAGTGACATTTCGACGATGAATTCCTATTACACGGGCTGTCACTCAAGTTAGCCTGCTGATTGTTTTTGTATATGCTGTGGTTTTAATTCCAATCGACTGTTTTCTATATTACATTAACGACATCACATCAAATTTGTTGGACAAAAATCACTTGACTTTGGGGAAGGTCCGACGCACCCAATCTGATTCTCCACAAAATAATTTTTTTATTTTTTTTTTTTGGTCCACGTCACAGGTACTATCAAACTCTTCCCGCACAGCAAAGAGTGCGGGAAGAGCCATTTCCCGCACGCTTGTAGAAAGTAGCTATTTTCCTAAAGAGTGCGGGAAGATAAATTTCCGGCACGAGGGTGCGAAGCGCCCGAGATAGGAACTATATTTTTCGTGCAGCCGTGCGGAAAAATCAATTTTTCGCACTGATATCCGTGCAGAAAAATTCATTTTCCGCACTTGTTAGGTAAATAGCTATTTTCTACGAGCATACTAAAGGTGATGTTACGAAAAGTTTAATTTAAATAATATGCAACTGTGCAGAAGGTAAAATTAAAAATGTATTAACCAGTATTTCCAAAAAAAAGATAAAGGTAAAGGTAAAAGCGTATTAACAATAAAAACAATTATTTCAAACCTCCCGCACCAGTGCGGGAAGAAAGTCTTCCCGCATAGCAAATGGTGCGGGAAGAGCCATTTCCCGCACGCTCGTAGAAAAACATCTTTTTAACTTTTGGAGTGGTTTAATCCCCATGATTTCTTCTTTATTCTTAATTAACCACTTAATATTAAGTAAACTGATCGATCAGGTAACTATTATAGTTATTAATGATACAAGTTCGATATGAACGCCATAATGAAACGCGTGTAACGTTAAATCACGAGGCGTTAGCCGAGTGGTTTAGTTACACAAGTTTCATTAATAAAGTTCATATCGAACGTGTATCATTCAAAATTTAATCTACGGTTCAAATAGATTTGATTTGCCTTGAAATAGCAAAAACTTTTCAAATTAAAATTTGAAATTTAGCAGGTACCCGTACAAGTCGAGAACCTGCTTGTTGGTTTTTAGAATTTTGACTTTGGCAGCTTCAATATTGGAGTCCATTTTTGTGCCATAAATTCAATTTTATGGTGGAAAATAATATATATTATTATTGGTGAATCTGAGTTCGAAAGTGTCTCTTCGAATATAGAGACAGCATTATTGAAAAGGTTCTTCTGGCAACTAACTTTCTTTTTGTATATTTTTCATTTCAAAATTTGGGTGTTATTATGAATTCTTAAACGCACTAGTGCTATTATGAAGGACTTAATGACATTCAAATGACAATGCTAAATGTGTCATAATGACACCGACGTAGATTAAATTTATAATATGAATTTCTTCAAACTCTGAGTGGTGCATCCCATTTATTCATTAATCTTAACTCGTACCTAGAATTCATTTTATTTTAATTTCAATTTTAGAAATAATACCTTAAAATATGTTGCAAAAATAAAAGTATCTGAAAAAATTTCAAAATAGGTACATAGAAATTAGAGGTATTGGTCAACATATAAATGACCATGCAGATAACGCAAACCATTTTTTCTACGAGCGTGCGAAAAAGTGTACTTTTTCGCACCCATTTTAGGTCATGAAAGTACCATTTTTCCGCAGTAATGCTTTTCTGTACTTTTCCGCACTGAGTGCGGAAAAGTAGAATACCTGACATTTTTAGGTATACAGGTACTCAAAGGTATACAGGTATGGTATACTACAGGTCCAGGTACGAAAAAGTGAAAAAAAAAATCCTAAATTGATAAATCTGTAGGTAAAAATATTTAACCTTCATCTCGTAGAAAAAATAGTGTTCCTAACTCGTGCGGAAAGTCTCTTTTCCGCACTTGATTGCTTGCCGATTTCCGCTGCAATCGCGTGCGGAAAAGTGGTACTTTCCGCACTAGTTAGGAGATATTCTATTTTAGGGCAGGGTGTGCAGAAACCTTCCAGACAGCTTGAATAAAGCGGAAAGAAATCAAATTATCAAGAATCAATGTTCGGTCCTACTTTTAAACATTCAATCTTTGCGGAATAAAACAAACGAGTTTACTCTATTTCTTGATTCCTGCAATAATCCGAATATTATTCTTTTAACTGAACACTGGCTAAAGAACTACGAAACCAGTTAACCTATAATTAGGTACGTATATAATTTTGTTAAACTTCTGTCGTACTCACTCCAAACATGGTGGTTGCATGGTTCTGATTAATAAGTCTTTTCTTGGGGCGAATATGTTTGAACCAGTGAATTTTGATATAGGTATTGTTAGAAGAAATCACACTTGAGTTCAGCATTGTCTGCTCAAAAAAAACTGAACCTGTACATAATCTGTGTATACCGATCGACCAGGTCAAATACAATAGAATTCTTGTCAGGTCTTGATTGTCTCTTGCCTCAAGTTTCTCAATCTTCCAGGGACCAGGGTGCTTCTCGGTGGAGACTTTAATATAGACTACCTTGTCGACAATGCAATCTCAAATTTAACGTAAAAAACCTTTTGACTTCCAATGCTCTAAATATGCATTCTACAAGGATTACAGAATCATCATCTACGTTAATTGATTACCTATACAGTGTTATTTTTTAAGTGTGCAATATATGGGGATTTGTTTTAGTAATAGCACAACCCAAATACAAACAAGGCCAAAAGTTGGTGCATGTCTGATAATCATTTTAGGTGCACTTAGAATGGTTGCAAGTCAAACAGCATACAGGGTAGCTCAAACAATATCAAAGCTGTACTGTAAAGTACCGTTATTTTAGAAAATTCAGCAAAATGTTATAGAGAAAAGTTGTTTGGAATTAAAAGTTATGCCTAAGTACCAAAACATAGCCTCCTAAGTTTTTTTTTTATTTTTTTTCGAAAAAAATCTATAATTTCTATTTTTTTTATTTTTGATTTTCACCCTTAATACTTTCAAAAATTAATTAAAATCAAATCAACTTCACATAACTTTGTTCAAATTCAAGCATATTTGTAAAATTAACTTGAATTTTTAATTTTTTATGGAATCACAAAATTCATGTTTGTTGCAATGATATTCAACACAACTTTAAAATGTCGCAATTTTTTTTTTAACAAGTTAAAACATTGCTAATGATAATAGCCATATTAAAAAAACCCTCCTTAAAGTGCAAAAGTTTTATTTTATTCAAGTAAATATTACTACAATTTTGATATTTTTTGAGCTACCATGGATGCTGTTTGACTTGCAACCATTCTAAGTGCACCTAATATGCTTAACAAACATGCACCAACTTTTGGCCTTGTTTGTATTTTGATTGTGCTATTACTAAAAAAAATTCCCATATGTTGCACACTTAAGTAATGACACTGTATATGTTCAAACTATGGTACGGAAGAAGTAGATTGCAGGGTTGTCAATGCAGCTCTGCCCAATCATGAGGCAATAATTTGTGATATTTTGGAGCCAAAAATAGGGTACGAAGAAAAGGTTAGGCTTGGCAGAATATTTAATAGCAATTAAAGTCTGTTTTTTTTTTAAAGATTATTCCCCAAGTCAAAAATTTAGTAACTATGTTGGCAACACAAGCCTTTTCTACATAAAAAATTTGAAAGCATTGACAATTTTACATTGTATTGCCAACATAATGTCATTTTGACTTTTAAGTTAAAAAAAAAACAGACTTTAGTTATGATAGGTTTTATCAGGAATGTAACAAGGAATCATGGGGTGATGTGGCAGAACAGGAGGAACGCACCAACAAACTGGAGTGGATGTTTGACTGAACGACTCTTTTTTACAATATTTGCACCTTTTGGCTAACTTATGCAAGCAACATGACCCGAGACATGACCCAACACAACTCTAGAATCAAAAATGACAAACCTAAATGATTAATAAGTACAAAATCTGTATTTTCGTTAAATAAAATAAACTAATCCCTTTCCAGTACCTAAATGATTTGCATTGACCCGTCTAGGAGAGAAGGAATGAAATAATAGTTAACTTACTTAAATCAAATTTATTTAAATAAAAAACACAATAAGGTCAACTTATCGTCTACCCCCAACCCTTGGAGCGGCCTTCTGGACCACCTTGGCGATCTTTTGCTTGGGTGCTGGCTTTGCCTTGGCTGGGGCGCTAGCCTTTTTAGTTGTCTGCGGTCTCGTTGATTTTTTTGCTTCTTTGGCAGCACTAGAAATAAGATAGGATTTAATAAACACGAATTGAATAATTATTCCTATGGATAATCACATGCAAAGAAATATAATAGGTTTGTTCACACCCATCAAAAAACCATCAGTGTTGCCGATTTGCGGGTAATTACCCAAAATTCGGGTTTTTCAACCTGTTCTGCAGGTAAAATATTTAGTGCGGGTAAAACCAGGTATTATCAAAATGAGTATTGAGTAAACAGTTTGACTTTGGAGTTGACAGTTGACATTTGAACTTGAACGATCTCCTGAACACTGCGGCTGCGTGCAAAGTTTAATAATTAATAAACGTAAACAAATCCTTGTCTTGGATTTCGGCTTGCATTTTCCAGTCCAGATTTCAAATTTCATGTTCCTTTAATTAGAAATTAAATAGGTAAGTATCCGCCTAACTCACCCTAGCTATTTGCTAGGTCAGGGTTTTTTGACAGCAAGCCAAACTGATGATATTTTTATTTTTTTTAGTGTGGTACAACTGTATTGTATGATGTATAATATCACAATAGGTCTGTTTCTGCAGAACACAAACCAGTCAGAGCGAATTTTATTGATTGAAAACAGTGAGAAACAGTCAGAAAACTAGTTTCAACCATCACTCTGACTGGTTTGTGATTTCAGACCTATTTTAAATAAAAGGACCGCGAACGATAGAAATTATAGTTTTATTTTTTTAAATCATTAGAATTTTTTTTATAATTACAAAATACTACTCTAAAAGATCGAGGGTAAAAAGTTGGGGTTTTGCTTACTGATAATGGGTAAAAACGGGTTTTTTTGAAATCTCCCGCGGGTAATGACAAAAATCAGATTGGCAACGCTGTATTACGGTTTCCTGCTGGGTTGGAATAAAGCTAATACATAATACTATATTATATACCTAGGTAGAGAAGTTGGTCATTACATACCGAAAGCTTTTATAAACCGAGGCGCGCAGCGCCGAGGTTTATAATGCTTGAGGTATATAATGACTTTCTCTACCGAGGAATATATAGAATTTTTTTTACTACTGCTAGTAGAAAATAAAAAATTTGTTTAAAATCTGTGTTCTAATTATTTTTTGTGAACGCCCTCTTAAAAGTGCTGCCCTCTATCAACAGCTTATATAACTTCCTATGTACCTACAGAAACCTGTATGTTTTTTCAACTTGACGTATGAAATTGAAATTGAACCAATAGAAACATGACAATATCCTTGCGTCATGACGTCATTTTCATTATTGACCTAGGTATTTTTTCATTATTTTCATTATTAACCTAGGGAGAGAAATTCAATTTTTTCTTAGAAAAATAGATTGAATAATGTCTATTTCTCAGGTTAGTAGTAAAAAAATGTAATTTATAGCGAATTCCATTGGTAGAACTACTGCAAAAAAAATATATTCTTATCTCTTTCTTATACAAGCTAGTAGACAAAGACACGAATACACTCAGTGCGACTAACCCTTCCAATGAAATTCGCTATAAGTTGAAGTGTTGATGCGTTTTTTTTTTGTGGATTATCTGAAAAGTATAGAGTTATTTTATCATCTACAGAAAGAAGTCGGAAAGAATGCCACAGCTGTTGGTTTCAAGTAACCAATGTGCATTTTTTTTGTTTTTCAAATTTATTTTTAGGTAGCAAAAGAGGGACAAGTTATGCTAGAAATTGACAATTCTAAGTCTCTTCTTATCATAGCTAATACGTTCAGATAAAAAGTAAAAAATTTTGTGTATTTTTCCATAAATCGAATTTTCCGTAACTCGACTTCGTGTCCCTTGAAGATTCGAGTTAGGGAAGTTTCACTGTATTACCAGGTCAAGCCAAGGAAAAAAAAACAATAAGCATGTATACAGGGTGTATATTTTAAGTGATACCACTATTGCTATATCCGAAACGGTAAGAGCTACAAGGTCAGTTAAATTATAAAAAAGTTGCCTTTTTTGATGCCCATTTCAGATTCGTTAACAGTGTTGCCAAATTCCTTTTAATTTCTGAAATGCAGGCTCATAAGTAGGGCCGAAGTGAGGTAAAATTTTGGTAAAAATCACTGATGATCACTTTTCAGATCAGAAACGTCGACCAATCATACTTAAGAGGCATATCGTTAAAAAGGGAATAAAGGGAGCTTTCTAAAAACGACATAAAACATCCAGGTCCGTATTTAAAAAAATGAAGTTGATGATGGTAGCTCAGTCACGAAACGTTGGATTAAAAATTTGAAGATGCCATGCTGTAGAGCGAAAAAAATTATAAAACTTTCAAATTTAAATTGTGTCCCGAAAATAAATAGTTCTCGAAATAAAAGATGAAATATTTTTAGGCGTTTCTTAGAAATCACCCGGTATTTCATAAACTAAAAGGAATTTGGCAACACTGTAAACGTGTCTTGAATGGGCATCAAAAAAGGCAACTTTTTTCTAATTTAACCAACCTTGTAACTTTTACCGTTTCGGATATAGCAATAGTGGTATCACTTAAAATATACACCCTGTATACAGGATGAGTTACTAAGCGCGCGGTTGTCCATATCTCCTATACTAACAGAGATTGAAGAAAAAACTAAAAACAGAACTTAGGTAAACATGAGTAGGTACTACATTCCTAAATTATTTTCCAGTATACAGGTTGACCCAATAAGTAGTGGTGAGTGGTGACACAAAGTTATGTTTTTTTAAATGACTCCCCCTGTATATTATGACATTTCTGGATTCTGTGGAAAATTCTAGACATATTTGATGTATAATGTCATATACGTCTTAAACTGTTTCAGGAATATTGACAGTTTAAAATCGACTTTTTTGCATCTTTGACAGACTGTGTCCCCACTTATTGGGCCACCCTGTATACTGGGTAATTTAAGAATGTAGTTCTCATGGCTATAGGCCGGATCGGCCGGATTTAGTGGTACCGCCGGAATTCCGGTACATCCCTATTTAGGAATGTAGTACCTACTCATGTTTACCTAAGTTCTGTTTTTAGTTTTTTCTTCAATCTCTGTTAGTATAGGAGATATGGACGACCGCGGGCTTAGTAACTCACCCTTTATATTTGAATTTTTTTATAATACATAGGATAAGAAAACTGGAATATAAAAGACGAAGATGCGATGCCTGTATTTGCACTGAAAGACGTGACTGAGAAAATATCTGATCTTCTATCACATGTTGCTTCAACTGGTACTTAAAACTGCTTATTCCTAAGCATGAGTAGGGCAGGGCTAAACCAAATTGAAACATAATTACATAATTTGGTAAAGATTGATTGAAATAAATGTCTTGGAAAAATGTTAACGTGAGGTTATGTGTACAACAACAACACATTTTTCTTAGTCCAAAATTTTTCGAGTTTTTTACGCAAAATATTACCTAAAAATTGTACTACTGGTTAGTTCTACATATAATCAGCCCCAGCAAACCTAAATTAAGGCAAAACCAAAATTTTTTATGAAGAAAATCAGTGCTGACGAGGCCTAATCTATAACATGGGTACCTGTTTCAAGTGCAGAAATTCTTGTGTTTACGTGGATGTTACCAAGGATAAATCCATTAAAGACCTCTTCGGTGGACCCTGTGACTTTTGCAGAAACATTTTCTGCAAGGATTGCTCAAAACTTACGTCCAGCGAAATTAGGGCGCTAATGACGCAATCGCGTGTAATTGTTTTTTTCTGCCAAGACTGCATGGCCAACATTAAACAGATGGGCAACATTCAAAAGGACTCTGAAGATATAAAACTAAAATTTAGTGCCCTACAGCAGAATGTTTCCAACATGAAGGAAGATATTCAAAATCTTCAGTCACAAGTGACCTCGGCGCCTAAATCCTACGCACAAGCACTAGCTAGCACCACTAGCACTTTGCAGAAGGATATTTCTGATATTAAAAACTCAGCAGAGTTTATTTCGCAGTGTTATGAAGATCAGAAAACAGAACTAGTTAAGGCCACTGAAACATTAAAGAAATATGACACCGAGAATAGTGCCCTAAAACAAAATATTAAAATGCTTGAAACCAAAATGTTTTTCTCTGAACAAAAAGAAAAGGAAAACAAAGTAATAATTTCTGGTCTGAAACAAGTAAGCACTGCAAATATCTCTGAAACAGTTAAAACTGTCTTTAGACGATTAAGTTTAGAATCACTCCAATATAAACAATGCTACAAACTGAATAACAAAGACAATTCTCCAATCCTAGTGGAGCTAAACAACAAGCAGGATAGAGCATCCCTATTCAAAAAACGCAAAGATATAGGCAAAATCTCAGCCGAGTCTTGTGGACTACATGGCGGCACAATATACTTCAATGAGGACCTTACAATGGAGAACCAAAAATTATTTAAACTTGCCCGAGATGCCAGAAAACAAAAACTTATTGGAGCCACCTACACATATCTGGGCTTGGTGTATGTGAAAAAGGATGCCAACTCGCCTGCTGTCAAGATATTAAGCGAGGACAACCTCAAAGAGCTGTACTAAACTTACCATGTTTGAAATACCTACGCCTAATATAGGATTGTACTTAATTATATAAAACTTTACCCATTTCTAAAATGGCTTCCTCAACATTGTCACTTAATGTGCAGAATATTCAAGGTTGTCGAACTAAACTAAAAGAGCTAAAACTGTCCTTCGATAACTGCTCTTTTGATGCTGCTTTTGTCACTGAATCATGGTTAAATGACAGCATATTGGACCATGAAATCGTCGACCTGAGGAGATACTCAATTTTTCGTCGGGACAGGATTACTACATGCTCCAAAAAAGAAGAAGGGGGTGGAGTTTTCATAACCGTTTTGAACAAATATAACCCGGTCGGTCTTCAGGAGTTTGGCAGTGATGCTGAGGATGTTTGGGCCCTCTTGACTGTTGGTAATATCAAGGTTTACTTATGTTGTGTTTATCTACCACATGGTGATGACGTGAATTATGCCTGTTTTTTAACAAAATTAGGTTCGAACTTTAAAAAGATAAAAGATCACCCTGTAATCATTTGTGGCGATTT